AATCCTGGACTACTAGCGGATTTCCCGATGATAGTTCCAGTGTCGCCCACTCACCTTATGCCTCTGAGGGGAAGAAAAGGGTGGTTAAGGGAAGAGTGAGATGGCTCAAAGCTACTAGCAAATCCATTCTTCCTGGGGCATCTGTGCAGGGCATCTGCTCCTGTTCCACAGTAGAGTCTATCTGGACATACATATGTGTCTATGTGCAAGACTATCAGAGCCTGGTATGCACACAGAACCAAGTCAAGTCAGCACCTTCCTTGTCCTATAAGTCAGATGGGAACCACCTTGGTTTGGGGCATGGAAAGTCACCAAATCCCAGCTCTGTTCCTTTCCCACACTTCATGGGACTCTGGCCTTCCTTATCCTACCCCTAAAGATTTGAAGCTTTCTAGAAAAAGTCTGTCCAACACCACCCTCCCGACAGAGATTCTGATTGGCTCAGACCTCCAGGGCCACAGCAATCATAATTCCTAAGCTCCTGACTTAAAATCATGGACCTGGCACCCCAAGGTGCTCTTTGGGGATCTCAGTACAGGATGAGTGGAGAAACCAAGCGTGAGGATGTGCCAAAGCACAGAGCCCTTCAACAAGTAGAACCATCTCCTGTCACCCCTCCTCCCAAAGGCTTTTTTTTTTTTTTTTTTTTGCTTAGGAGGTAGAAGCCATGAACACATTTTATAAAGTAAATTTCTCTTCCAAAGAAGAACCCTACCCTGAAGAGGCAGAAAACTACAACCACTAGCTGAGCATGTTTCCCACATGGGGCTAAGGAGACCTGATAAACCAGGTGGAGTCAGTGTTGTCGGGGTGGATGCCCTATCCAGACCCTTAATATTGGCAGGTACACCTGTCCCTCAGTCGAGGGGGGAGCAAGGGCGCACATGTGAGAGCTCTGGAGCGCTGTCTTTGGTTTTGGGAACTGCCTGGGAGGTTACGCCACCACCCAACTATAGGAGAGGCAAGGAGTGACTGGCATGTGGGCAAGTCTACTGTGAGGCTCCTCTGCCAAGAGCCCCAAGGATCGAGCAAAGGTGAGAATGCACCTGGCCACAGGCTTGCTCTACTCTCACCCCTTTCCTGTTCTGCTCTCTACTCCCTTACAGTTTTTTTTTTCTATAAGAGCACCCCCTTCACAATCTCATACCCCTAAGTCACCATGCTCACCCAGCCTTCTCAGACTCTTATCTCCTGGTGGCTTTGGCTGAGAATGCATCCTTTGTGCCTACTGTAGGTAACTGCAATTTTTATAGGATTTGTGTCCACAAGCTATTTTCTCTAAGCCTCCAATGTCATCTTCTTAGGTGTGCTTCCCAAACTTGTCTCACAAGTCCCACAAAGCAGACAGAGCAATCTGTATCAAAAACAAATTCAGGCTACTGCCTTGAAGTGATGTTTTCTCTCTCTTAGGGCAAAAGACACACACACTCCAAACCCAGCATCACCCATAGTAACTTCTCTGGTCCTCTGGGCACGCCTCTCATACAAATGTTGCATTGTTGTGCTTGTCTGCTTGTCCAGTTGGGGTCAGTAGGCCATGCTGGGATTAGAGGTAGGAATCCCTGAAACTCTTACAGGAAAGAAGCAGATCTTGTGACAGGTAATAGAAACTGGGAACTGGGAACTCATGAAGACGGATCCTTGGGAGAAAGTAGAACTTGGTTTTTAGACCTCTTAGGGTTGATGACACTGCCCTTCTACTCAGGTGGTGGGGACTCTCTTGGTGGGGAGGGTAGTCTAGGGCCTGAACCCTCATTGATACATTGGGTGGGCATCTCTGCACTCAGTGGCCCAATCCTACAGATTGGCTTTTGGGCGGGGGGTTCATTCTCTTCTGTTCTTCCCATTCCCAATCTTCTCCCACCTCTTTGGCAATGTCTTATTTAAACAGTTTGGCCAGGGCAGCCCCGCTGGCGCAGCGGTTTAGCGCCGCCTGCAGCCCAGGGCGTGATCCTGGAGACCCTGGATCAAGTCCCACATCAGGCTTTCTGCATGGAGCCTGCTTCTCCCTCTGCCTGTGTCTCTGCCTCTCTCTCTCTCTCTCTCTGTGTGTGTGTGTCTCTGTGTCTCTATGAATAAATAAATAAAATCTTAAAAAAAAATAAACAGTTTGGCCAGATCTGAGTGGAGGGGGTCCAGGGTAGAGGGGAGAGTGGGTGGGGAACTGAGGGAAGGTTTGAGGTCTACACTTGGGCAGAGTGGTGAAGGAGATCCTAATGGGGGTAGTTAGGTGGGAATCTGGGGACAGGGCCTGTGAGGTCCAGCCAGCCCTCCCTAAGTGGAGTCTGCCCTGCATGGCTCTTCATCATCCTAATTCACAAACAGGATTGCTTGATATGTTAGAGGAAAGGAAGGCAGAGCTGCCATCAGGCTGTTGGTGATGTTTACTCTTCTTTTCACTCCTGACCAGCTGTTTCTTGAGGGGTCTTGGTCTGATAGGAGATGGAACTCCTGGGAGAGAGAGGCACAGCCTGGCCTCCATCCTTGATGCAGGGCGCTCCCTGGAGGCTGGCTCAGGAATCAAGAGCGCCCAAGGGAAAATGAGACAGGAAGTCCCGCGGAGGCATTAATACCTGGAGCAGAGCAGCTCCAGTGTTCCCAGCACATCTTCTGTTGCAGAGGCCTCCTTGGTGCTTTCCTGACCTGCAGGCATGGGGACCACAGCTCAACCCAGCTGCACAGGCATAATATCTCTTTGAATTCTCCATTTCATCCTGAATATTCATGTGCTTTCTGCAATACACTCCATGAAACCATCAGAGCTGGTTTTAGAATATGAATGACGTGAGAGCTGGTACACCCGAGTTGCTAGCTAAGAATACGCGGTTAAACCTTTCTGTATCAGTCTCCTCATTTGTAAAATGGAATAAAAACAATGCCTACCCCGTAGGCTGGCGCGATGACTGACTTACTACCTGCAAAGTGCCTGGAACAGTGCCTGGCGTACCACAGATGTTCTGAAATGATGTTGTTATTTCCCTACTGATACCCTGATATGAGAAGCACATATGGGCGGTCCTCATTACTTGCAGATTCCATGTTTGTGAATTCACCTACTTGCTAAGATTTATTTGGAATCCACAAATCTTGCAGTTCTTTCATGGCATTTGGCAAAGGGGCAGAGACTGTGACCCGCCTGGTATGTACGTTCCCAGTTAAGGTAGACAGGGAGGCGCTCCTTTGCCTTCTTGTTTCAGCGTTCGCACTGCAAAGAAGTGTCCTCTTATGGTCTGTGTGGTGCCGCTTTTTACATTTTTGTCTTCTTTGTTGGTAATCTCGCTGTTTAAGAGAGCCCCCAAGGGCAGTGCTGGAGCGCTGGAAAGTGCTCCTAAGCAGCGGTTGGAATGAGCCCTACAGAGAAAATTCCCGGGCTAGATGTGCGTCATTGAGGCAGTTGTACTGCTGGTGGGCCTGGGTTCAATGCTAATGAATCAATAAGGTATGTTTCAGTGAGAAGCCTGTATAAGATGAGGTTGTGTGTTGATTGGCTGATGGACCTAACTCTCTATTTCAGTGGTTCGGTATTCACAAATTCATTGTTCCCTTGACTTCATGAGAACATAACCATGGCAAAGAAAACTGTCCACAGGTGCGTTCTTTGTGGCTCAGCCCAGGGCTCCCTGCCCCCTACCATGTAGCCTAGCCTTGCATCCCGCTCCTCTGCCTCTTCCACTGAAGGTCCTCTGCGCATTTTCCCATGAGATTCCAGCCGTTTCACATGGAGTGGAGAGCCAGTCCCCACTGGAGAGATCCTCCTCTTGGCCAGGGGAGTCACCAGGGCAAGGAAGGTACGATGGGGGGTGGGGTGGGGAGGCAGGGGGTCAGCTCCTCTTGGTAAAGCTCTAACACCATCTGAATGTCTCAACTACAGAACAGGGAGGAGAGCAACTTTGGGGATGAACAACAGAGGAACTTTAGAGAGAAGGGGACGCGGGCTGCAACCCTGGCTTTGCAAGTCCCTGCGTGCTGCGTATTTCCCCCCGGGCCTCAGCTTCCTCTCTGTGAAAGGGGACGGACCGTCCCAAAAGGCGGCGCCTGCGGAGCTCCGCGCAGTGGCTGGCCTGCGCCGGCACCCGAGGAAGTGGTGCCCGTGGTCCTGCTTAGGCGAGGGCATAAGGCAGACTTTGCGGGCGATTCCTTGGCCCCTGCCTTTATCCCCCTGAGATGAGGCCAGAGCCGCGGACAAACATTTCATCCCAATTCTCTACGCTTCCATAAGGAAAGTCATCGGGTCTCGACACTCACCCCCGCCCCTCACCCCGGGCCTGGCACCCCAGGGTCTGGGCAGCTCAAACACGCCCAGCTCCCCCGAAGTCGCGGCCAGTGTCCGGCCTCGGTGCCCCTGCTCGGCGCTGGGGGCCCCTGGCGGCCAGGTGTCCTCGCGGCGAGCGCGCCCAGGGATCCGTGGCCGGCACCGGGTCTGCGCGGGGCGCCCGGGACGAGGCCGCCCGGACGGGGGGGGGGGGGGGGGCCGCGGACTCCGCCGAGGTCCGCACGGGCCGGGGCGCCGGGAGCTGCCGGAGGGGCGGCGGGGGGCGCCCGGGCCGGCTGGCGAGGCCGAGGCCGAGGCCGCGGCCGCCTCTCCCCAGCGCGCCTGCCGGCGGCGGCGGCCGTGGCGGCGTCGGCAATCCCGGCTCTTGGCACCACGCCTGGCGGCCGGCCCAGGGCGAGGAGTGGCTTCCAGGAAGCGGGCGGAGGAGCGTTCCAGCCGCGTCTCGCCGTCGCCGAGGCCCCGAGCGCTCCGAGCGGCCCGGGCCGGCCCCTCCCGCGCTCCCCTCGCGCCCCGGCGCCCCCGGCTCGGCGGAGGGCGGCGGGCGGCGGGCGGCGGGCGGCCGGGCGCGCCGTGCACTTGCCGGGCGGTGCAGGTGGCGGCGCGCGCCCTCCGCCTCTGGGTTGCGGCCAGCGCGGCGCGCGGCGCCCGGAGGGGGCGGGAGAGGCGGGGCGGCCCCCGTCCCAGCCCCATTTAACTGCTCGGCCGCGGCAGCGACTGCGGCGCCGCGGGCTGAGGCCGGCGTCGGGGAACGTCCGGGGCCCGGATTCCGCACGAGGCGCTGACGGGGCCGCCCCGCGCCGCCCGGGCGGCACGTCCCAGGGCTGTGTGCGGCGCAAGGTGGGTGCCGCGGGCTCCGCGCGGGGGTGCGGGAGCGCCGGGGGACTCGAGCGGCCGGGGACTCCAGGACCCGGCTCTCACTCTCTGCAGGGCTCGGGGACCGCGGGTCCCGCACGCTCCGGGGGGCGGGGGGCGTGCGGGGAGGGCCGGGCCCTGTCGGCGGGCGGGCGAGGGGCGCTGGCGATCGCGGGGGCCCTGGGGAGCGCGGCCCTCGGGGGCGGGCAGCCAGGAGCGCGGAGCGTCGCAAGGTCCGGCCGCCTGGCCCGTGGGTCGCGAGCGCGGGCGCAGGGGCCGGGGACGCGCGGGAGGAGCCAGCGCGGGGCGGCGGGCGGGCGGCGGGGCGCGCGGTCCCGGGCCCGGCACCGGCCGCCTCCCCTCGGGCCCGAGTCGCCGCCGCAGGTCGGAAACAGCAGCACATTTGCGGATCGCATTAGGCCAGGCCCTTAATGCCTTCTCCAGATGGAGGGAAGCCACCGACCCGCCCCCGGACACCGGCTCCGCCAAGGCGCCCGCGAGGCGAAGCGAGAGGCGAGCGTGACCTCGGCTTTTCCAGTCTCAGACTCATACTGACTTCCCTGTAAATTGTGGGGAGAGCTCGGCAGGACCCCCCGCGGCCCTCCCGGGCTCCGGCGGCCTCTGCTGGTGTGCCCTCACCCGCCCTCCGGGGACGGTGCTGGGTTGGCGCGGAGGCTGTGCGCTCGGAACCTCCCTGGCCCAGCTCCGACCGCTAGCTGCAGGTCCGGGTTCGCACGGCACGCGGTGGCATCGCTGGGGAAAGCCTTGAACTCTCAGACCTGCGTTCCAGTCCTAGAACGGTCACCGTCTTGCTGTGTGACCTTAGGCAGGTCCCTGCCCCTCTCTGGGGTGGCTTAGTTGGTCTTAGATTCATTTTTGCCTGAAGTCGAAGAAGCTGGCAGGTGCCCTAATCCTTGGCTCCATGCTGGCTTCCTGAGTCAGATGCCAGCAGCCACACCCTGCTGCTGACACATGAGCTGGAAAGTGGTCGGTGCAGAGATGTCTCAGCTTTTGAAAGGCTGGAGGTGTGTGGGTTGCTTGTTGGGGTCAGGTCCAGCTGCCCTCCTGACCCTGATGTGGACCGGTCTTAAAGACAGGTTTCCATAGCCTCTACCATGTTGCGGGTAGCTCCATCCTGGATCTGCACAAGCCTTTTTCAAGACATTATGGGAGGCTCAGGATGCCTCCCTCTGATTGGTCTAAGTCATCATTGCTGCCACTGGGGGCAGAGCAGGTTGGAAACCAACTTTTTCTTCTTTTGCAGGCTCAAGAGAGATTCCCCAGGAGACTGGACCCCATGGCTTCCTGGAAGAGCTCCTGGTGGCTGCTACTGTGGATGGTCTTCATGCACTCTGCCCTCCTGCAGGTAACATGCAGAGCAAGAAGAATGACAGGCATCCCTCTGCTTGCGGGATGATTATTCTAAATCACCTAAAATGTGGTAGGATTTGTGTTAATCCCAAACCAAAGGGAACCTAATGTTCTCTCTTACCTCCAGCGAATGGTATTTCTGGTCATCTTAGCTGTAAGAATGATTCAGATCCCTTGGGTCCTTCCTGAGTCTTGAGCAGGTCTTTGATACCACTTGGATACCATGTGCCAGCAGTGACTTGGGGCTGTTGGTGGGCCCTGTCTTTTCAGTCTGGAATGGCTGCCTGCCTGTGCCCAGTAGAGGCGAGGCTGATAAAGACCCGGACACAATGAACGGGGCAGAGCTCGGGTTCTGACCTCAGTTCAGCGGCTAAGTCAGTATTCTGAGTTGACTTCTGTCAACACATATCACACCATTTTGCAGTCCTTTCTTTAGACCCTTGTCTTTCTCACAAGCCTGGGAAGGCCTGGCTCATCTCTTGCATCCTCATTTGCCTTTAAGGCAGACTGAAATACAGGAGTGAAGAGAGCATCGCCGGAGAGACAATAGGGAATGGTGGAGACTACAGCAAAGTGGATGGCACATGCTCCATCTTGTTACAGGAGCCTCTACTCACCTCCAGCTGATCGTTGCCAAGTGGGAACACAAACCCAGGATGGCCATATCTTCTCATTTTCTAGATAGCAGGATCATCCAGATTTTCTCTGAAACCTCCCTGTTTTGAAAGCATTGAAAGCCAGGCAAATGTGTGTGCAGCCTGGATTTTGCCACGGAGTTCATAGTCCGTGTTCTAAGGGTCCAGAGCACGTCTTAGCATGGCCTCCCAGACCTGCTCCTGGCTCAGGACAGCACTTTGCATGAACTAGAACAAGGCGACCCCTCTCTTCAGACATAACTTCTTGGGCACATGGCTTGGTGGCCTGTGTCTCCACAGGGTCTAGCAAAGGGCCTGGCCTTTCAGAAGGGCTTTCATGTCTGTTAAATGAGGATTCACACTTGAATAAAGGCACACACCACGGGATAGATTAATCAGAGTGCCTCTCCTCTTGGTTTCTTGGACATAGTGTTTCTGAGCCTCTTCCAACTCCAACGCCCTGTGATTTCGGTGGCTCACAAAACCTGGTTGTCGAGGTGCACTTTCTCCCCCATTATCCCATCTCATTCATGCTGCTCCATAAGCACATTCTAATAGATAGCTTTTGTGAGAACAGAAGTTAAGTGTTTTCAGGGTGATTTTAGGGTTTCTCTAGTCCATGTGGTGTAACGTGCTGGCAAATGGTGGAGGCTTGCTTTTCCGACCCCCCCACCCCACCCCAGCAGAGCTGAAAAAGGCTATGAGAGCTTCAGAGCTTTATTCCTGGGGCTGAGGTTTCAAGGCACAGCGTTTCATTTTGTCTTCTTGCACCCTATAAAATTTAAATGTGCTTTGAGGCAGTCTGTTGACCTTTGGCCAAGGGCAGTGTTTGCCCAGCTTGAATCACTCAGTGACCTCTTTTGGATTTTTCCATATCTGTGTGCCTCTGGCAGCGTTGTTTCCATGTATGGGGCAGTGTGCGCAGGAGATCGTAAAAGGAGGTTTCAGACTACACCATCATCCACACTGCCCATTGCTAGACTCCCAGCACCACTGCTTCCTGACCTGTCACATAAACTTCTCTGCATCGGTTTGCACATCTGTAGAGAGGGGCATCTGCCTCATGGAATTGTTTGGAGGAGTTAATCCACTGCAAATGGAAGAAAGGAACAGACAAAACAGAAACAGTGTCTGGCATGTAATAAGTGCATTAGACCTGAGCTCTCTGCTGCTGCTGCCGCCGCTGCCTGCACCCAGGTTTAAAACTAGAGCAGTGCCTGTAGTTCCCGCTGTGGTCCTGTAGGGGGCACTCGGGAGGCATCAGCTGAACAGAGAAGCTGCTGAACTGGTGAGGAGGAGGTGGGGCCGGTATCTTCTCAGGAGAGTTCCCTCAGGTGTGAGTGGGGTTGGCCAGGACAGTCTCACCATGGGTCGGGGGAGAATGTTATAGTGAAGGGTCCCTCAGTCCTGAGACCCTGCTCATGGGCACGTGGTTGTCTGCCTACAGTCACCCTGGGTTTGATTCAAAGCTGCCCCTCTGGGGTGTCCTGGGACTTTGGTGTTTGGGGACCTTAAGATATTCTTCAGTATCTCCCCTTGCTTTGTCAATGCTGCCCCTAGGTGGCTGGTGGAGAATTAATAGACACGAGGCTGAGCCACAGGGAGCGTGGGTGTGTCAACTCATTTAATAAAAACTAGATTTCCTTTAATACATCAGCGAAAACTCAACCTCTTATATTCGCTGACCACAAGTAAATGTGATGGATTGCAGAGCAAACCATGAGGTCGGCAGGCTTGTGTTTTTATAACTTGTTCTTGAGGGTTTCTGGAGGAGCTTACTGTTTCCCTCACCCTTCCTGAGTCATGGGCCTTGGAAGCTCCCTGTTGCTCCAGATCCTTTCCTTCAGGATCCTGGTCTCCCCTGAGAAGGCAGCTGCCCCTGTTTCAGCTCTCCCCTGCAGCCTCCTTCATCGGAGGAGCTTCCACTCAGTGGGTCTCAACATGGTGCCGGGGAATGGGCTCCAACTGTGTTTCATCAGATTCGTTCCATTCCTTAGTGAAATCTTGGACAGATTCACTTTCATTTTTTCATTTGAAAAAAGTCCAGTCCAATTTTAAATCTTGATTCCCTACTTTGATTTAAATCTCACCTCCCTTCTGTCTAGTGTAGGGTTGATCACCTGACTCTGGGCACATAAAACGAGATTGTGCTGTGGTCTAGTCTCTTCCCACCTCAACCAGCGGTGAGGACTGGTTCTGGGGCACTTCTTCCTTTTAGTTATTCTGGATCTGGCTTTCCTGGCATTGGAAATAGCAGAGGTGGTGGGGAGAAGAGCAGAGAGATTTCTACTTCCTGCCCAGCATGCAGCTCTGTGGGCTAGGGTACAAGCATGGTGGTTTAAACCCCAACCCATGCCATAACCTACAGACCTGCCAAATCACTGTACCATACGCCTGAAACGAATGAAGCATTGTGTGTCAACCACACTTCAGTTAGAAAAAGACACCCCAGCTCCCTTTGGTGTTGTCTCCTTGATTGATAGGAAATGTATGCATTCTTGCTGTGCAGACAGTGGAGGCATCAGATTCTCCACACTGCCTCCTCTCTCTGGCTGCCAGCTGCCTCCAGCTCCCCACTCCCTGCCCGGGGAGGCCCAGGGATGCATCAGCAGACCCTCTGAGCAGATGCCTATCTGGGGGGTGGATTGCCAGGCTCTGCTTGCAGGCTCACCATGCAGTCTCTTTGGGTGTTCTTTTTCCTCAGTGAATCTCAGCCCTCCATAGAGATGAGGGAGGTGGTGCTGGTGACAGTAGGGCTTGTCACGGCCCTCCCTCCCTGGCGAGCTCTGAGGCAGGCATCTGCCCAATGTCAGTCACTCTCTTTAGAAAGTGAGGCACTCAGCTCCTCTTTGTCACTACTTTGGGCTATGAGACCAATGTTTTAGAATGGGGAAAGATCCCCCTGACTATTGTGACACTGAAATTAGACGCGATGGCTGTAGGCTTAGGGCCAGTGCTGGTCTAAGTGGTAGTTCTGCTCTCAGGGATTTGGATTTCAGCAATGCTGGCCTGAAGCTTTAAGGATTGCTGTTCTAGGTGGTTCTTGGTGGTTCTGGTCTCAGTGCTTCTCTCTGGCATGGTTTCTGGTCTTTGCCCATCATTCTGGTTTCCTCAGTTCTGGTATGGGGAGGGGTTCTGATCTTGGTGATTCTGGATGTTTGGGTGGTTCGAGACTTGATGGCAATTTTGTCTGGGTGGCTGTTATCTTGGTGGAGGCTTTGGGATTCGTAGTTCTCGTCCTGGTGTTGGCTCTGGCCTTGGCCGTGGTTCTTCCCTTCTGATGCCACAAACACTAATAGTGACCTTTTAGCTCTCACCCTATCCCTTTTACATCAGAAGGCAGAGCCCAAGCCTTGGTGGTTGTTGCGAGGTGCAGAAATCCCCCACCTCCTCAGAACTATTCTCCTAACCTGGGAGAAGGAGGGGAGTGGACTCAGGTGGCAGCCTGGGTCAGTGTTGTCTTGATTGAATTGGGTCCTCCTGTGTGAGCAGTGGTTAGAGAGCCATCAACACTTGTATTCACTCTTCACAGACTGAGATTCTGCCGATATCAGTGAGTTCCTGGTACAACCACTTTTCCTCTCATACTCTCATGTGCATGACCTCCCGTCTTCCGAACTCCCCAGCCATGTTCTGTGGCACTTTTTCCTGCTGGTCTCCATTTAGACAAGAGGTTTAAGAGAATGGCAGTGAATTAATTGATTGACCTCATTGCCGTAGCTTGACATTCTGTGTCTAGCGGCACTGAGCTCTGGCAGGTAATTATGCATGTAAAAATTTAAATCGTAGAAAAATAGAAGATCTGGATAAATGAAAGGAAAATCAAAATAAAAAATTTGCCTTCCTACTACCACCCAGGTAATAACTTTTAAAGTTTTCATGTGTATTCCTCCAGACTTTTTCTATGCATAAATACGATATAAATACATGTGTTACATTTTGATAAGTGGGATTATGCTACAGATTCTGTTATATATCATTGTTTTCAGTCAATATATCATGAATATCTTTCCATGTCAGTACATATATGACTGTTTTCGTTTGTAATGGCTGTGTTCATTGTACTTAGGGTATACTATGATACCATAATTTAAGCTCATTATTTCTTTGTTTGACATTTGGGTTGTTTCCAAGATAGTTCGTTCACTTGTGTTTGCCATCAGCCACCTGTAGTGAACATCTTATGCTCACAAATTTTCTTGCTTATTTGAATATTCCTTAGATTAATTTTTCCTTAGTTGACTGTGCTTTGCTACCCATTTGATATACCTCTCTTTGTCCTCTTTTATTCTGGGTAGAGGTCTTCCAGCATTCTGGGTTTTATGTTGCAGATGTACTCCCTGTATGACTTCACCATCCA